GTCGCTTAAGTTTCGTTGGTACGAAGTTACGGAAAATCAATTAAAAACGGAGACGTAACACAATTTTCTTGTGGTGTAGAATGACACATACATCATGTTGAGGCAAATTTTCAAATCTACAATGCAAACATGAGTAAAATATTACCCACAGTATCGTGATAACAGCTGGTATAGTCATATAGCCATACTTTACTATAAAATAAGCATAAAATATGTATTAATACAGCAAAATAATGTCTTAAATAGGTATTTTCAAAAAACCTATCAGTGAATGTCTGAAACAAGGGTAGTAATGAGCTGGTAACCTGACCTGTTAAATAAGTATTGTGAGATGAGTTAATAAAGTAATGACTTAGAGGTTGGTCCATGTCCTCACTGAGATCAAATTTTTCAGGTGCCATTATGGAATTGTCATCACTTGCAAGGTACCAAAGAAATCCTTCAACTGATAGCATTCCTATAACATCAAAAAATTCCTTTTAATGATAGAAATAAGACAATAGTAGTTTCAGCCTCATATAATATATTAACTCAACAGTGATTATTACATGGGCAGTTGCTGTATGGAACCTAAGACACCCCAGAAATTTTCAATGTTAGTGCCAACTTCATCTGATTTGCCAAAATTTGAATAGAACTAGATCTGTCTTTGGAAACAGACTTACTAAACCAGACTCAAGTTTTTGCCAGCTTGTATCCATGATTAAGAATGACAGTAGCAACTCTGGATATCTGATAGAACTTTTTGGAATAACATTTTTTTTACATTTTTAAAATAACAATTCTATATAAATATCTATAAACTTATAGTATGACTATTGTTACTGTAATATTGCTTTCACAAATATGTCTACATTCATTGTAAAATATTTAATACCAATAATCATAGATCTTATTATTAATGAATATTCATTATTTGTCATTTGGTTTTTTGTCTGCAGTTATTTGGTTATTTTAATATAAATAAATCAGCTTCGTGCCTGAATCACCCCAGGTAAATTGTATAAACAAACATTCATAAAGAGATGTCAGGTTTTATAATTATTTATTTTGCACCACAAACCTTCTCATTAGCTATAACTAGAAAGCCAATAGATTATTTTGTATTCATAAGATTTTTTCCTTAAAAATTTTATTATTGAATTTGCATTACAAACTTACAAGTTATTTCTGATTTTTGTTTTCATTTTATAGGTTATTGATATAGTTAGAAATATTCAGATTATTCAGTTACAAAGGCAGAAAATGAACCCCATATTTACAGAACTTTATGTAACTGAACTTTCTATGATAATTCTTATATCATACCCACCATGTTTTTTCCAGGCATACCTTTCTGAGCATAACTTTTATTTGGTTCATACTGCTTGATAATATCTTTGACCCTAGCTGGTGTAGCATAAGGATACAGAATCTCATTAAGTCTGGGATCTCGTTGTTCTTTGTTGAAAAACTCTACCACCTGATCCACAGTCATTCCTTTTTTCTTATTGCCCCCACATCTGAAAATCAAAACACAAAAGTCATCTTTACCAAACAATGTGTAATATCTTTTTTGATCAGTATGTTTTGCAGTTGTATTATAAAATCTCTTTTGTCTGTGTCTCAATACCCTGTCCAAGTATGCCAAGTAATGTTTTCTCCATACAAATGTGTTTCGTAAGTAGACTCTACACATTACAGCATCTAATGCTTCAACAAATATATTACAGAGCATGATCAACCTAATGTATTTTAGAACAATATAATGTCAAAAAAGAACACTTCCAGTGGTACAGGAAATAGGGGGTTAGGGGAGCAGGTAGAGGAAGCAAGTAAGAGAAACAGCTGTTGCCCTCGACTAGAGTAGATCAAAACAACAAAATTTCTATTTAGAGATTCTAAATTTTCATTCATCAAAAATTTCAAAAAGTCATATATTATATAATGTCATTAGTTACTTAATAACAACATCTTTCATATGTAAGTGATGTCTGACAGTTTCAGGTTCATTGCAAGTTTCTCCCCCTGGCAAAAAGAAGTTCCCTTGCCACTGGACACTTAATCTAACAAGTGTCCTTTGCTTTTTAGTATGATAAAAGTAACCAGTTGAGGCTTCAAAAACAATCTAGAACATTCAACAATAAAAAGAAGTATACATTATGTAAAATTATTGAACAACATACAGCTAATTTGTAACAAACAGAATTTATCTAACTTGTACTGCTATTTGTTGGTATTTAGTTTTATTTAACACTAGACTTGTAATGAGATTTCACACATTTGTAAAAAAAACTTTTTATTTAACATAATATGATATATATATATATATATATTTGTATCCTGTTTACAATTTATATTAATAATACAATTAATTTTAAAATTCTACTTACAGCTTTTCAAAAATTGCATCTACTTCACTTCTTCCCACTAAATGGCGGTAAAATGAGAGAAAACAGTCAAAAGTAAATTTTTCTGGAGAAATGGAGTCATTCTGAAAGAAAGTAAATTTGGTTACATAAATAATATACTAAATATTTCTTTAAAAAATACTAAAAACTCAATGTTTTAAACGATAATTATATCAAACAATACAGTTTTTTACATGTAACTAAAATAGAGTTAATTAAATGAGAACAAACATTAATTTCTTACTAGTATATTCATCATGGTTGTGATAGAAGAGAAAAAAATCTAATCATCAGCCACAAGATCAAATAATCACTATTATTTATTCATATGCTAGCTATGGAGCAACTGCTGGAAGCATATTTCTCTTCAAATACTGAACAGAAGCAGATTAGATCTAAGAGAAGTATTAGCTATATCATTTACCTTTCCCATAGGAAGTCCTGTTAGTTCTAAACCTTTCTCTACTCTCTTCTTATCATCCTTATGCTGAGCAAACATTTTAATAACACTGAAAGGAAAATTAAATTATGATATAAATGTACATCCATAAACTTTTATGTAGATGTTTATGTGCTTAACAGGTGATAATAGCATTGATTGCTTAATTTCTTGATCTAGGCATACATAAGAGAACAAAAAAAAAGAAAAAATACACATTAATTTCATCCAAATATAGAGTTCAACATAGCAGAAACTAATTAAAATGTAATGAAAAAAAAAGATAAAGAGCATTTATTTCCAAGTTTGCTTTTTTATTGTGAAGAATGTAACGAATGACAAAATGCATACTTTTGAAGTAAGAAATGACTCAAACCTAACACTTTACTTTCAAGTCTACAGCATTTATATTACACTAATGAAATTTGTCTGTATCTTCTTGAATATTTTCAAAAGATATTAAATCCAAGTACAGTTTTATTCTATTAAAAGTAAGAAAAAAAAGAAGATTTCATTATACCTTTATTCTAAAGTATCATTAATACATTAAAATCACCTTCATTCCACTCAAAACAAGAAAACCACATGTAATGCTTTTAACATGCAACTGTACCAAACATTAACTGTACAAAATGGTAAATAAAACACTGTAATTGAAACGTGTGTATACTTTTGGAAATAAGTGTAGTAGCTGAAATAACTACTAATTTCACCTTCCATAACTAGTTTAGAATATATCTTTAGTCAATATATTATTTTGTATTCACAAGATTATAACTACTTTTTTTTTGTTAAAATTTTTTCTAATGTTCCATGCAGTTCTGTATGTAATAATGACATTCTTGTTAACTGAACGACAAAAGGTGGGAAACATGCTAATCTTTTTATACAGGCAGGGGTTGTATACTGCAGCTTAAGTGTTAAGCTAGCTTATAGGCATTTTTGTATGGACTTCTATGAATGTAGCTTGTTCAAACAGGTAACACATAAAATTGTACAACCCAGCTTAGGAGAGTTTGGATTATGAATGTATATATATATATTGTTATGTCTCCATTTCTTTATTGATTTCCCGTAAATTAGTTCTGAACGAAACTTTAGCGACACAAGTCCTTACTTAATAAAACTGGTTTATTCTTTCCGAATATAACTTTACGATACACTTAATTTCAACAATCGCGCTAAAACAAACGCTATAACAACGAACGTTAACTTCAACAATACATCTCTCTCTCTGACTGCAGTTCAATTACTCATTACCTACACACACATTATTGTCCCGTCACGTTGTCACCCTCTTTTATATACCAGACTACCCTATATCTAGTAAATGCTAGAGCATTCGCCAAGGTACAGGATAGTTCTAGAAACGTGGCATGACACTAGTCATGTGACTTCACTGATGCAACACTGCCCCCTCCTTAGTATTGTTCATCTCGAACAATACCCACATACAATAAACCAATAACAATTAACAATAACTTAATT